AAACCACTCTTAAGTGGAGGTGATCATGGTACTCTATGATTGGGTGATTACTTAGAGGTTAGCTTGGTAGTTACGTCCACCTATATAAATAAAGCAAAAATTCTCTTCAGAATTTTACAAGTGATTCAAGTCTTTCAAAGATGTACTCTCCTTCTCCATATAGTCTCTCTCTATCTCTTTGCATTCTCTTTGGGTTAATACCATACACCCTTGGATTTGTGAGCGTGAGAATCCAAGAAGGGACTCCAATAGCCATTTTTTCAACTAAGTACGAGATTTGGGTGTGTAAAGAAGCTTGGGGAAGTTCGGGTTTGACATCGTTGGGCTTGTAACAAGAAGTAATGATCCGGTTACCTTTTTGGGTTCTTTAAGAGGTATAACAAAAATCCATTATTTGTTATGTGTGATTAATGTCAACATTGGTACCAGAGCTTGATTTATTTGTTGATTCGCCATAATATGTCATGCTTAAACATATGATGTATATTTCTGTTTTTTGATTCATGATCGAGAATAGTCATTAACATGCAAAATCAGTCTATTTTTGTGACTAGTTTTTGGACAAAATTTTTTTATGGATTTGTTCCTTATAATTCCATAATATCACATGTAAAGTTGATGAAGATATGTTTAGTTGTTTTTGTAATAAAAATTAAATTGAAGTTTCGGGTCTCATAAAATATATGATTTTTTTTTCAAATTTTGGACCATTTTTCAAACTGTAAATTGTGATTTCTGATGCAAACTATTTGCAAAAGATGAATCTTGAACACGTAGGCTTTTCCAATGGTATATTATATACATTTTTTTGTTGAGTAAAATGGGAAAAATAAGTGCACAAAGTCTGCATCCCGCAATGTCAAAACTGTGCTTTTGAAACCAACCCAACATGAGCAGTGGTTATTTGTGACAGTAGCTTTTGGCAATACGTATAGCAAAGTAGGACAATATTATAGTTCTGTTTTAGCACAAATCCCAAGTCTCAAGGCAAGTAAATGCAAACTTAAACTAAAATGGTCAAAAAGGACCAAGTGTAGCCTGTTTTTCCGCACAAGCACATTTGAAGGTGCAATTGGGAAACCAAAAATGGAATAGTGGGATGAGCATTTGGTGTAGCCCCCCGCACGCAGAGGTGGCGCATGAAACTTAGACTTTGAATTTTAACTTCTCTGATATTTGGCTACTGTTCTTAGTTTACTATAAACTTTTTTGAATTCCTTTCACTATTTGGTATTTTGGGTATCTTTTTGGACCCAAAAATAATTAAAAATGCGTGTATATGACTTCATACCATTTGCGACTCTCTAATATTTTTAAGTGAAGTAAAGATCCTAAATTTTTTTTTGTATCGTGGAATGACTATTATTGGTGATAAATGAATTATATAACATTTTTTGACTGATAGAGTATAATTAAATGTCATTAAAAATGAAATTAAGAGTCATCCCTATGAGACTATGGATCCCGCTCCATATGAGGGTGAGTGTGACATAACCATCCATTTGAAAAATCTATTGGTATTACTTCTTATGTGTTACCATGTTTGCTTTAGGATAAGTGGATGGTTGATTAAAATTGACATTATTTATTTAAGCTTATGTTTGTGTAACATATGGAATAAGAATTATTCTACTACATATAATGTGAAGCGTGACATTCCCAATATTGTTTTGATTATATTGTAGTAGGCTTTGGTTAGAAATGCAATCAAAGGGTTGCATTATTATATTGAAGTTATCAATGGGCCTTTGGTCCAATGGTACTCATTGTCTTATAAAAGTTTTGCCTTCTTGAGGTCAAGAGTTANGCTTTGGTTAGAAATGCAATCAAAGGGTTGCATTATTATATTGAAGTTATCAATGGGTCTTTGGTCAAATGATACTCATTGTCTTATAAAAGTTTTGCCTTCTTGAGGTCAAGAGTTAAAGTCCTCCTTCCCCCCAAAAAAATTATATTGAAGCCTTGTAAGGGGATGTGTTTCATGTCGCACATGATACATGTAGAATTTTTCTTAGCACAAGCTTGATAATGCGAATTGGGTTCAGTGGAGCTTATGCGCATTTTGTTGTATGGTGCAATGATGTGGATGTAAATATGACAAGTTTAATTATGGTCATGTGGAGATTATGGGAGAGGTTAGATCCTCCCAAGATAAATTTGTTCATGAAACAATTGGAACATATATTCCTAACTCACATGCATGGGAGATGATTACGAGTTTTTTGGCACATTTTCGATTTTACTATGTGAAAAAGGAGACTATTTTTCAGTTGAATTTTTGGAACAAATTAAAAAGATGTGTAACTAATGTCGAACTTGCACATATCCATGTGGTGATCAAATGGCCACCAAGAATGTAGTTGTTGACCTTACTAGGGGTGACAAATTGGATGTGACCAACTATGACATATAGCACCAAAAAATACAATACGTGTTGAATGAGCAAGAGCTCCTTGAACAATTTTTTGTTTTGTTTTTGAGATAAGTACAGGGAAGAGATTAACTAGAAAGGAAAACTAACCAACAAGATAAAGCAACTATGTGACTCCGTTGTCCATAAGATCCTCTTGGACTGAGTCCTTTACTAATTGTGGACTCTCATTTGCCATAAGGGTGTCTGTATACTTCATTGCCATACCCCACTTTGCTAATTCATGTGTTGCGCCATTTGCATCCCTTTTAGTGTGGACCATGGACCAACTTAGCTGTTTGGAAATTTGAATTTTTATGTCTGTGATGATGTGTTGAATGGACCAGTGTGGCTTAATATGTGGTAGCATGACTAAATGGATCACTGTTTGATTATGCCCTTCAAATGTGACATAGTTCCATGTTGCCTCTTTTGCCCAGATTGTTGCATGTCTAGCAACTAATGCTTCAGCTATGAGAGGATCTGTAGTCTGAGCTTCAACAAGTGTGGATGTTAATACTACTCCTTCAGAATTCCTTGCTATTGCTCCCACCCAGGTAGTTCTTTGACACATTGTTGCATCAAAATTGATCTTGATTTCCCCTGCTTATGGAGCCTTCCATTTGTTTTGATGCAGAGACACTGTAGGATTAGTATCTGATGTCCTGTTGTTCTCTGATAGAGCCATAAATTCCTCAAAGGTTTGGAGAATCTCATGAAGGATTTGTTGAGGATCAGGTAAAATCTGTTGGAACAAAATCCTGTTCCTCCATTTCCATATTGAATTTGCAAGAATTGTTGTGAAGAGTCCATGCTTGGAGTAGTGCAGCCTGGATGGACCAAAGAGAACATTAAGGTTAAGAATGTTATGCAACCAGTCCTGCATAGTCAAGTGGGGGAAAGAATCTGGGTGAAATCCCCATTTGGTGAACCAAATCGATCTAGCTAAAGGGCATTGGAAAAATAGGTGTACATCTGTCTCAGGGCTGTGGTTACAAAAGGGGTAAAAAAACATTTGGTACATGCGTTTTGGAGGATAGAAGGCTTCTTGTGGGAATACTTTCAGATGGCATGTGCCAAAGCATGACTTTGTGTCTTTCATGGAGAGGTGCATGCCAAAAGCCTAGTCCAATACTTTGGTTTAAAGTAAGTGTTTAATTGGTCCCTTTCAGCTTTGTGAATTTTGTATCGAAGTGGCCTGTTTTGCTGGGGATCCATGCTCATTGGTCCTCTCTAGGGTAGATTGGAAGCTTAATCTTTAGGATTTCTTGAACTGTTATAGGGGAGAATAACTCAAGTAAAAGATCTTCTTTCCATTCATTTCTTTGGTTATCAATCAATTTAGCTACAAATGTTGGTAGATGGTCCATGTCCTGCTCTGGCTGCACTCTTAAATCTGGTATGTTTGGTACCCATGGCTCTGCCCAAATATTTATTGACTTCCCATCACCTACAAGGTATCAAGCACCCTTCATAATCAGTGGCCTACATGAGAGAATGTTCTTCCAAACTAGAAAGTCTTGAGGATGTTGTTAGCTACCATCCCAATTTAGCCATGAGTGACTAGTTTGTGTCATATGTCTTCCTAAATCCTAGACCTCCTATTTGCTTGGGCCTACATAAATGGTCCCAGGACTTTATTGTCAGGGCATTGTGCTATTCTGAAACCCCTTACCAGAAATTATGAACTTTCTTGTCAATGATATTACACATGGTTTTTGGTAGCTGGAAGGACATCATTACGTAGACTGGGATGGCAAGGGCAGTAGATCTAATCAACGTTGCTCTTCCTGCATATGACAGCATTTTTGATTTCCACCCTTGAAATTTTGAGTCTAGTCTATCAATGATGGGTTGGTGACTCACATTTGGCCTGAATAGTCTTTTAAACCCAAGTATAAGTGGTTAAATTGTAATATAATACTCGGTTTAAGTCTGAGGTTGAACACACAGGAAGCTAATAATTGGAACTCAAAATAGAAACGGTGAAGTAGTTACAGATACAAAATGTAAAGAAATATGTGGTGTGCTTAGAACAATTAAAATAAGCTTAATTAAAATTGTGGAAATGTGATAGTTAAAAGGTACCCTTCAGTTCAGGGATTCCACATGCATTATATTGTTTTGGTTATTGAAAATGCCACCTTACAATAATTAACCCCCATTTTACTGGAAAGTCAACCGGTAGGTATGATGTAAATTGAACCGTATCTAGCAACTAATTAGGTTAGTTGGTAGGTATATTTCTATGCAATAATCAAATAATCCAAGTAAATTAGAAGGCAAGCCATTCAGGAGGAATACTTGAATTATTCATTCGGTATCTCTGTACCATGCAACAGTTAAACAACCCTAGTGAACCAAAAGGCAAGCCATTCAGGAGGAACACTACAGTTATTCGACCGATAGGTTAATGATTCATTGATGACAAGATTTCAGTTTATGCATTGAATCGAAAGCATTGGCTATGCCAAGACTTAACCCATCTATAACCAATCAATCAACTGTTACATAAAGCTCAATCACGTACATCACTGTATAATGCATGAAGTACATAACTAGTAGATAGTATGGCATATAGCATTAAGTACCGCTCAGTGTTCATAACCATGAGGATATTATAAATGTAATCATCCATCAATATGGGAGGTATATATAACATTAAAGTATAGTTAAAACATCGGCATTTTCATAACTTAAACAATGTTGTACATATGTTCACCCTTCACCGAAGGGTAAAAGTGGACTGCTCACACCCCATTGCTATAGATAAGCAAGAGGTGCGATATAGCTCCATTACAATGCAAAAAAAATAATACAAACAATCATTCCCCGAGGAATAGTTGAAACACCACCACTCTTATAACCAGTTAAGGCACAAAAGTGGGTGAGATTTTAACTTGATCTGAAATCTGTACACCCCAGTGCAGGCTGTCAAGCTGTAGTATTAATCCGGTTAAGTCTTAAGTCGAATCCACAGGGAACTATTGTTGGTGTTTCGAAGTAAGCAGNTCCATGTCCTGCTCTGGCTGCACTCTTAAATCTGGTATGTTTGGTACCCATGGCTCTGCCCAAATATTTATTGACTTCCCATCACCTACAAGGTATCAAGCACCCTTCATAATCAGTGGCCTACATGAGAGAATGTTCTTCCAAACTAGAAAGTCTTGAGGATGTTGTTAGCTACCATCCCAATTTAGCCATGAGTGACTAGTTTGTGTCATATGTCTTCCTAAATCCTAGACCTCCTATTTGCTTGGGCCTACATAAATGGTCCCAGGACTTTATTGTCAGGGCATTGTGCTATTCTGAAACCCCTTACCAGAAATTATGAACTTTCTTGTCAATGATATTACACATGGTTTTTGGTAGCTGGAAGGACATCATTACGTAGACTGGGATGGCAAGGGCAGTAGATCTGATCAACGTTGCTCTTCCTGCATATGACAGCATTTTTGATTTCCACCCTTGAAATTTTGAGTCTAGTCTATCAATGATGGGTTGGTGACTCACATTTGGCCTGAATAGTCTTTTAAACCCAAGTATAAGTGGTTAAATTGTAATATAATACTCGGTTTAAGTCTGAGGTTGAACACACAGGAAGCTAATAATTGGAACTCAAAATAGAAACGGTGAAGTAGTTACAGATACAAAATGTAAAGAAATATGTGGTGTGCTTAGAACAATTAAAATAAGCTTAATTAAAATTGTGGAAATGTGATAGTTAAAAGGTACCCTTCAGTTCAGGGATTCCACATGCATTATATTGTTTTGGTTATTGAAAATGCCACCTTACAATAATTAACCCCCATTTTACTGGAAAGTCAACCGGTAGGTATGATGTAAATTGAACCGTATCTAGCAACTAATTAGGTTAGTTGGTAGGTATATTTCTATGCAATAATCAAATAATCCAAGTAAATTAGAAGGCAAGCCATTCAGGAGGAATACTTGAATTATTCATTCGGTATCTCTGTACCATGCAACAGTTAAACAACCATAGTGAACCAAAAGGCAAGCCATTCAGGAGGAACACTACAGTTATTCGACCGATAGGTTAATGATTCATTGATGACAAGATTTCAGTTTATGCATTAAATCGAAAGCATTGGCTATGCCAAGACTTAACCCATCTATAACCAATCAACCAACTGTTACATAAAGCTCAATCACGTACATCAGTGTATAATGCATGAAGTACATAACTAGTAGATAGTATGGCATATAGCATTAAGTACCGCTCAGTGTTCATAACCATGAGGATATTATAAATGTAATCATCCATCAATATGGGAGGTATATATAACATTAAAGTATAGTTAAAACATCGGCATTTTCATAACTTAAACAATGTTGTACATATGTTCACCCTTCACCGAAGGGTAAAAGTGGACTGCTCACACCCCATTGCTATAGATAAGCAAGAGGTGCGATATAGCTCCATTACAATGCAAAAAAAATAATACAAACAATCATTCCCCGAGGAATAGTTGAAACACCACCACTCTTATAACCAGTTAAGGCACAAAAGTGGGTGAGATTTTAACTTGATCTGAAATCTATACACCCCAGTGCAAGCTGTCAAGCTGTAGTATTAATCCGGTTAAGTCTTAAGTCGAATCCACAGGGAACTATTGTTGGTGTTTCGAAGTAAGCAGTGATAGAGACTAAGTGGCTGGAACCCTTGAGATTTGAAGTTATGAGATTTCTTAGATAGAATATAAGATTCTTTCCAAGGGGTTTTTCTAGACAAAATATAATAAGTTATCAAATGTAATAGTCACCATTTAGTTCGAAATTTGAACATGTAGTTAATCATCCAAGTTATTATACTTGTGCTTGGTAACTCAATTAACCGCTGTATCAACATGAAGTTAATTGAAAGATAAAGATGGATTATTAGAATTAAGAGCATGGTTCCGATGTCTTTGTAGAGGTTTACAAGAATTGTTTGTGCCGAGACTCAACCCATCTACAAACAAGCGTCTCTCCAAGACATCCAACCATTGCGGTAGTATTCTATTCTTTAAATGAAGCACAATGATGATGAAGATTGGAATGTAGTTATGAAGATCTAGCTGGGGTACTTGCTTAGAACCAATGAGTCCTTCTATGTCAAGAGTCATCTATGTCATAAATAGTACTTACGGTTGGTACAAAGTACCTTAGCTTTGCTAGATGCATTCAATCATTCAATAAGCAAGTGAAATATAAAACATTAAGCATAAACGAAATGCACAAATATAACTTCCGGAGATTTATACATGTCCATCACCTCTTACTAGAGAGTGAATGAGAAACTACTCACTCTTCATGGCTTTGGTAAAGCTAGAAAAGTGAGTGATGCTCATCCGTCCAAGTAGAGGGGTTACAAGGTAAAACACACTACACAAGGAGTCGATCTTCGATGNTCGTATACAACAAGCTGTTGAACCCCCAGGTTTCCCCTAGCGGACGTGTGTTTTCTCGTGAGGGTTTTCAATGAAGCTACCCACAAACTTCNAAACACCACCACTCTTATAACCAGTTAAGGCACAAAAGTGGGTGAGATTTTAACTTGATCTGAAATCTATACACCCCAGTGCAAGCTGTCAAGCTGTAGTATTAATCCGGTTAAGTCTTAAGTCGAATCCACAGGGAACTATTGTTGGTGTTTCGAAGTAAGCAANCAACCTGTTTGGGGACAACGTTCAAACGTTGTCTCCTGTTTTCTTTGATGGGCGTTTCAACGTTGTCTCCTGTCTTATTTGATGGGCGTTTGAACGCTGGATGAGGTTTAAACTTCCCACTCAAGTGGCCTTTGTTCTTTTGTGAGAGCAATTTCCACATGCCATATGCAATAGCACACTCTTTCAGGGGGTCCTAAATTGATTCAAGTCAACGTTCAAATGTTAGTTGGCTTTCGAATGTGGTACTCAAGTACCTATTTGTTTTCTTTCTTCTAAGCTGCAACACACCATGCATCATCATCTTAGCAGTTTATTCCTCTAATAATTCAAGAGGACGTTCAAACGTGGATTGACATTCAAGCGTTCATGCCCTGTTTCAAACTTCTCTAATTTTCTTCCAGAACATGCGGCTGTTGCATGAAAGTTTGATATGCATTGACTTTAGGTCTTTGTACAATATTTCTCCTGAAATGCCATCATTGAAACTTTATTGAAGCATAATTAGTCTTAAAAAGGCATAGTAAGATGCTTATTTTACTATTAATCACACCCCTAACCTAAATATTTCTAGTTTCTAGTAATAGTTAAAAAATTGAATGAAAAATTATTTATAGTGCCATTTTCGTAGGTCATCCGGCTGCATTTATCGTATACAACAAGCTGTTGAACCCCCAGGTTTCCCCTAGCGGACGTGTGTTTTCTCGTGAGGGTTTTCAATGAAGCTACCCACAAACTTCAGTCGAATAGATGTGTAAGTGAGATTGCTGATTAAAGTGAGTTAGCACCATGGTTGTTAGGACACCCAACCCTCAATTTCGACTTATATCCCAAACACTTCTCTTTAATAGATGCTTACTCTATGCAAAAATGAGCATTTGTCCCATTCATATTTGAAATTCCCTGTGCAATAGGAACAATCATTCTAGCAACAAGAATCGGTATATAACAAACATTCTACTTTACCACCTTCCATGGATAACTTTGATATCACAAACCTCTCTTAGAATGCTCTTAGCAAAAATTATCTCCGATTATAGTGACTTTTCTCTCAAAGGACATGTGATCAGAAGAAGGCTAATAAAAAATTCACAAGCACAATTAGTATGGGAGTGAAATCTAAGGAACAAACTAATCATG